ATGTAAAAAATGTCATCTATTTCTGCAGTATGAAAAATAGGGCAGAGGGATGGGAAATGACGCTGAACCTAGAGCTGTGTGAGAATTGCTCAGATGCCAGCCCAGCCACGTGGTAATGCTGTTGTGCTTACGAACACAACGGTTATTACCTTTTCAGGTGGTGATCTGCAAGTGCATTACCATGCTGTACCCTCACAGCACGTGTCATTCGTAGGTATTATTAGATTCACTTTACAAGTGAGTGAACTGAGGCATAGAAGCGTTAAGAGCATATCGTAAAGCTCATAAATTTCATACTGTAAGTAGGCTTGTTAGCGAGGAGGCACGTGGCTTGTGTCGGGCTGCTACTCATTCCCTACTCTGGGAATGAGCGCATGACTTGCTTGCTGCTTTTGAACTAGCTCTTGTATTCCAACACGCTCACAAGCTTCACAGAAAATTGCCTCTGAGTTGCACAGAACTTGAAAGGAACAGGTGCCGTTCCTGATCTGACGCTTGCTTTAGGCGAGGCACTGCTGTTAACTTTAAGGGTCTGGAGAACAAGGCTCATGAGGAGCAGCTGAGGGAACTGGGGTTGTTTAGCCTGGAGAAAAGGAGGCTGAGGGGAGACCTCATCGCTCTCTACAACTCCCTGAAAGGAGGTTGTAGCGAGGTGGGGTCGGTCTCTTCTCCCAAGTAACAAGCGACAGGACGAGAGGAAACGGCCTCAAGTTGCGCCAGGGGAGGTTTAGATTGGACGTGAGGAAAAATGTCTTTACTGAAAGAGTGGTGAAACATTGGAACAGGCTGCCCAGGGAAGTGGTGGAGTCCCCATCCCTGGAGGTATTTAAAAGACGAGTAGATGAGGCGCTTAGGGACATGGTTTAGTGGGCATGGTGGTGTTGGGTTGACGGTTGGACTCGATGATCTTAGAGGTCTTTTCCAACCTTAATGATTCTATGATTCTTTGACTTCAAGGAGCTTTGGATCAGGTCCTCTGTGAGGCTTGTGTTTTGCAGTGGGACCAAAAGTCAGCACGTACATCTCAGCATGGCAGGTCTTTAAATGCAAGACCGAATCAAGGGCACAAACGTCCCTTTTCATTGTGTCTTCCTTTATGGTGTCAAACCCAGCTCTTGATCTCTAATTTTGCTTTAATTGAAATCATATATGTGAGTGAAAAATATTGATCACCTTTGCTGTCCTTTTCCAACTGCAGTGTCTGAAAGGTCTAAGTCATAACTAAGTCAATATTTGCACGACAAAACTCTCCCCCCCTGTTTCTCCCTAGTGGTAAATTCCCAACCATTACTTCCACTAAAGGTCCACGTGCAGGAGGAAAAAACCCCAACCCCTCTGACCTTCCCATTTCTCTTTTCTTTCAATTTTTTTCGGATATTCAGATGATTACTTCCAAAAATGCACATGCTCAGATACTCTTTAAAGTCATACTGTTAGCATACACTTATCAAGCAGGCTCAGCTTCCTGTAGGAGCTAGCCCTTTAACAGTTGTGTCTTGTATCTTTAGTCTTATTAACTCACTAAGTGGAAAAAGAAAGATAAATGCAGCATCAGACCATGGATTATGCCCGTAATGAAGGGTTAGGCATATATTTTCCATGGCAGCCTGCAGAGAGTCATCTGAGTCTCTAAGGACGTTTCATGTTGTCTTCATAATGGATTCTGTCTTTGTTCAGTTTTCTGACTGTCCTCAATTTTTTATTTGGAGAAAGGGTTCACATTATACTATGCCTTAAGCCATGTTGTGAAGAATTCCTGCCCCATGGGATGCCTCAAGCCTCAACCTTTGCGTCCTTTGGTGACGGAGGTTGCTGCCACAAAAGGCTCTCTAGGAGACAGGGACCTTGAGAAAAAAAATCTGGCATCGGCAACTGTGTTGTGACCTTTTCATCGTCGGAGTGCCTGGCTGTTGCTCTGCTTTATTAGTCTGAATGTTTTCCAAAGGGGGAATCTGGAAGCTGGGAGCAACAGCATGAGGATTATTCTTAAATGTTATAGCCTAGGTTGGGAGTGATGCAAAGGTGAAGAGGAACACGTGAGAGGCAATTGCTGAAAGCATAAGAAACCTGTAAGTGAAATTTCAGGGGAAATTTTGTGAAGTTTGGGGAAAAAAAATTGATCCCAAAGGAAGAAAGAAACCTCAAACAAGAGACAGCTAGTAACCTTAACTCCAAATAATAAATTATTCCAAATTAAGCGAGTATTTTTGCCATGATCAATGGTTTTACATCATGCAATGCATAATATAATTTGCAAGAGAAGTAATTTTGAAACACAAAATTAAAAGGCTCCAATTTTCAATTTTCTAGGTCTTGTTTTTAGACAAAAATACAGTTTCTACAGGGTACAGCTTGAGAAAGCTGACTTATGGCACCAGTATGCAAGTGGCATATGTTTTTCAGGTGGTTATTCCCCAGTGTCTTCCTATCCCTCCTCTTCATGTCTATAGAAGGCTCAGGGATTCCTTCCAGGCCTTTTTAAAATTAAACTGTTTTTCAGAATCATGGGCTAACAGATGGAGAACAGTTGTTGTCATCAGCTAGCCAAAGTAAATACAGTTGCAAAGAGTTTTCAGCAATAACTGTGCATAATTATGCAATTCAGTCATCTTTCAGGTGAACTTCAGGGGACTGCAAAAATCTATGGACGTACCTGACCAGTCTTCCTGTGCTCTTGTTGGGTGCTGCAGTTCGTCTTGGGAGCTTTGCACAGAGCTTCACCTACCTGAAAAATATGAGGCTTTTGGAGCAAAGAAGAGACCCTATTCGCACCTGCAGGCCCAAGAGCCGGTCTGCCTCTGCTCTGCTGGCTCACTGGTGGGAGCTGTGGGGTGTCGGTGCCTCTGGATGCCTGAAAGTGCTCCTTGTGTCGAGGTGGGTGATGACCTGTCTATAGCACTGGCAACAGGAGGCAGCAGGACAGGCTTCAGGTCTTCTCGTTCCCAGGATCAAGCAGCTTCAGAGCTGGTTTCCTAGGGTGTCGTGGGTACAGAGAAAGGATTTCTCCTTGTTGGGTCAATGAAAATTGGTTCAGTACAATGCTGGGCATTTCCTCACCATTCCGTGAAAGTCCTGCATAAAAGGGTGTTGGTTAAACCTGACACGTTGTCTTTAATTTTTCAAATTTCAAATTTCTGGACCTGAATGGGGGAGCAAATATCACATGGAGCTGAGAAAGATGTGAAATAAAAATTCCCCAAAGTTAGCTAGAAAATCCAGAGACTTGCTCTGGGTTATGCTTCAGCCTACCAGTTAACATGCTCTTGCTGCCTGCTCAGTAATTTGTCAGGAACAGGGAAGAAGAATCCAGACTTGGCAAGCTGGTGCTGCAGACAGATTTTGTCAGATGAAATCCCAGTAGACGTTAGTCCAACATCAACAGCTCCTGAGCTATCACATGGGAATGCGCAAGGAGATAAAATGAACATCCTAAAGGGTGGGTCCTCTATTTTAAGGGGCAGAGAAGGGAATCTGGCTAATGTAACTTTTTTTTTTTTTCTTTTCTTTGTGGAGTCCTTCAGAGAAATGATGGAAAATGCTGGTTCCAAACACAGATACGATTCTGTCTTTAAATGAAGTGAAGAATTCAAGAAAAGTTGCTTAACTCCTCTCTCTTGCTCTTTCCTACATGTGAAGAGAGGTTAATCCGATCTGCCTTTACCTCAGAGGGATTGTGAGGGCAGAGTTTGCAAAGGAATTTGCCATCTATGCAAAGAATCCACAAGTTGACTGCAGGGGAAAAAAAAAAAAAACAACCCAGACCTACCGTTGGGAAACTCCAGCACCAGTCGACTACTTTCTGGAAGTGGAGTGTCCTGTTACATAAACATTCTTGAAGCTTTGCAGAAGGGGCGACATTCACATCATGTATGTGGGGCCTGACTAATTGGGCTTTGTGTGTGAAGAACGGGGATGGAGAGGATAAGGAAGTGAAATCCCCAAGGTGCAAGCTGGGCCTCCTTCTTCCCATGGCCTGTACTGTTGCTTACGTGTTGAAAAGGGGTCTCAGAGCCTCCTGTATGACCGAGCTGATGACTGGGAACTCTGCGGGCCCCGCAACCCAGCCTGCATCCTAACTCTGCCCTTCCCAGCGGTCTGGGAGGCGGCGTGCTCAGGCCGGCAGCCAGCTGCAACAGCCTCCAGCAGTCACTCAGAGATCTTCCCTCTGCCCAGAAGGTGTTACCGTCCCTTCGTACTAAAATCTGCATTAACTCAGTGGTCCTGGTCTATGTATAAACAGCATGCAGACCACGTAACTCTTGGCTGCTTCTACAAACAGTGGCAGAAGGGGGCTGCTAACTTCAGGAGCTCCAAGTTGCCCCTGGAGGAGTCTGTACCTTTCCACTCCTTATGTGGGGAACCAAAATCCCATAGTTGCTGTTTTGATGACCGAAGTTAGGTGGCACCAGCACCCCTCCATCCGAAACTCACTTGAGACCCAGGGCCCGGTTCTCCACAGCCCCACACCTTGTGGCAAAGTGGAGCTGCAGCGTGAGTTGAGTCACCACTTTCTTTTGCACACACTTTGTAAAGCTTTGTCACTAGTCCCAGACAAAGAAAATAACCTGTTTCCTCCCACATCTCTTCAGGGAAAACTATGTATAGCAGGCATGTAAATAACTTGATAGCATCTACTATAAAATTCACATGTATATTTTTCTATGTTTTACGACAGACACAGAATAATGGTTTGCAGGTTTTCCATTCTGCACAGCAGCTCTCAGGGTAACAGGTCAGACTTAGCAATTGGGATGGCAGTGAAAGGAACAGCTTCACAAGCCGAAAGAGCCAGTGCTGAACTGGTTAGGAAAGAGTAAAATCTGAATTCCCAACTCTTTTTCTTTTCACAGCTGTTAAGAGTTCAGTGGGTTGAACTGCAATCCTTCAAGTTCATCTGTTGACTCCAACACAAAACTATTATAAACTGTGCCTCTAAAACACGTGATGAAACATTTCTTGAGAGCTATTTATTCCAACTGCAGCAGAGGAAACTTTTCAGAACACCCAGCATTTGGTAGAGGAAAGGTCTTTTGAGCTTTGCAAAAGGAGGAATTATTTGCATACCGACGTAAGTTACTTTTTGATTTTTTTTTTTTCCTGCACCATTGAATGAAATAATACTTCTAACTTTCCCCCCCCTATGGAAACACGGTCAAGTAGCACAAAACTATGTTTATGTGCCTAGCAGAGTATTTCTATATAGTTTTCTTTCTTTAATCATGTGGATTGGGGGTTTTGTAATTCAGCGTAGAACTCAACATGATTTAATATTACGTATTTTTTTTCCTCTAATGTTTTCTGTATCTGAATAAGAGTTCATTCAATTACAATATTAATGCAGAAATATGATAGACTGCAAGCTTCAATCAAGTGTGTCCTGCAAGCTTACAAATTACGAGTAGCAAGGAATAGTTTGGGGGCGTCTTTTTTTCAGATGTTTCTTTTACATCTTTGATCTGAAGTTTGATCTTACGTATACATATACATTCTCCTCCAGGCTTTAGCTGTGGTAAAACACTTTCCATGCTGAAAATGGACCATGCAAACATGACCCAAGCCATGCTTGATGCTGAATCCCGCAACACGGAGAAGAACAACAGCAACGAGTATTTTTACATTCTGATCGTCATGTCTTTCTACGGGATCTTCCTGATAGGGATAATGCTGGGCTACATGAAATCCAAAAGAAAAGAGAAGAAGTCCAATTTGCTTCTGCTCTACAAAGATGAGGAGAGAGAATGGGGGGAAGCCGTGAAGCCTCTACCAACCATATCGGGGCTGAAATCTGTCCAGATCCCCATGATGCTGAACATGCTGCAGGAGAGCATGGTGCCCTCCCTGTCCTGCGCCATCTGCTCGATGGAAGGCAGCAGTGTGAGCTCCGAATCCTCCTCCCCAGACGTGCACTTCACCATCCAGGAGGAAGTGCTGGATGCTGAACTGGGGGAAGTGTCAGAAACGCTCCTCAACGAGAGCAGCGAGGGATCTGTGGAAAACATCCACAAGAACTCCTAGCACTTGCAGGGCTCCCTTGAGCAGCTGCCAAAGCGTGAGTGGAGCTCCCACTAAGAACTTGTGGTTCTACTTCCCTGCTCTCCGATGAACTCTCAACAGGTATCTGTGCCCTCGGGCCCGAGGTGTTCCTGAGAGCTGGCAGGACAAGGAAGCGGTGGTACCCAACACCGAAGTGTAACTTGCACATAATTGGGATGCTTAATTTTAATTTTTCCATTATTATTTCTTACTATAAGAGCTAAGAACAAGGAGAATATATATATATATTTTCTAATGAGGTAACTATTACTGGCATGTCTCTGCATATTTCAGAATTCTGCAAATATCTGGGAAATGTTTAGGGAAGTTACCCTCACGCAAGTGCCTGGTTGTTAAAGACGATGGGTAATGCTCATTCACGCAAAACTGTGATAGACTAGAAGTACTTTAACTGTGTTTTCCTTATAGCAAACCACAGTCAGCAGCAGATTTGCTCAATAAGGCCTCAAAAGCTGAAAATTTGTCAGTGCTGTAGTTGAAGGGAGGTTGCAGCATGGCTGGAGACTGACTTTAGGCACAGAATGGATGAAAGAAAAAGAAAAGGAAAAAAAGAAGGCATGGAATTTCTCGGAGGTCTGTAAAGCCCAGTTTCAGATCCACGCCACTATATTTATCTTTGCTTAAGTTGTACCTGTACTGGCTGGGTCAGGTTCACTAACTTCTGCTGCAATCCAGCCTTTGACTGAGTTACTAGTAGGGAAAGTGGTTTTGTTTTTTGCTTTTGTATTTTTTAAAGACACGTACATTTGATCACTAAAGGCAAAGATCTGTAAGTTAAAAAAAGACATTAAAAGATCTTTGTTACAAGGTGTAAGACGTAGAAAGGCTTGAACAAATGCTGCTCTGTTACGCCCCCTTGAAAAATAGGTGGAATTCAGAATAGAATTTAACCTAGCAAGGGTGAAATCCTGGCCCCACTGAAGTCATCAGCTGAGTCCTCCTGACTTCAGGGGACACGCACAAGATTTTGTGCTTCTCTGTTGGAGTTAAATTCTCCATTTGAGGTCAGTAAAACTGTACCTATTTACATCATTAAAGAATCTGGCCTTTCTCCTCTATTTAAGCCAGTGTAGATAAACATTGCATTACATCCTTTTTTTTTAATCAGCTCGCATGTGGCACATGCATTTCTATAAAGTCATTAGTAACTAGTTTTTAAAACCACCACAAACTCCCCCCCCCCAATTTAAGGGTACTGTGATTTTTTTTCAAATGCTCATGAAATTAGTTACTAAATTATTGCACTGTTAAAAGAAGTAATGTTAATATTTTAGCAATGTATGATTATTTCAGTCATACCTTATATTTTATAATAACTTATTACAATGTTTGGATTAGTTCTGAACCATGAGGGCTAAAGAGCCTGAATCTAAAGCATTGCCCAATTTAAGGGTACTGTGATTTTTTTTCAAATGCTCATGAAATTAGTTACTAAATTATTGCACTGTTAAAAGAAGTAATGTTAATATTTTAGCAATGTATGATTATTTCAGTCATACCTTATATTTTATAATAACTTATTACAATGTTTGGATTAGTTCTGAACCATGAGGGCTAAAGAGCCTGAATCTAAAGCATTGCACAGCAGAATGTTTGCAAAATGTCTCCACATATTTCCTGAGCTAAAATAGCTCTGTGATTTATCCACTGGCAGCAGAGCTTGAGAGACAGCTTGAAAAACATGAACGCTGAACGGCAGAAATGAACCGAGGCGAGAGTCTGCTGTACTTCTGCCGTCTGGAAGGGAGAACTCTGGTTTTGGCTTGGAGGGTTAATACGATGTGACGATGTGACGGAGCCGGCAGAGGTATCGCTGTCTCTCTCTAAACACAGCAGAACAAAGGCTCCATTGTGCTCAGAAAGGGCCTGATTCAGTTCAGACTGAAGGCAGTGAGAGTTTTTCCATCGACTTCAGTGAACTTTGGATCAGACCATATAAAGCTTTTTGGTAGATTTACTCCAAAAGGGGCTGTTTTAAGTTTGAAAGAAGCCAAATTAAGTTTGGCACTTTGCCTGGAATCACTTGAATCCTGAAACTTTCCAAATGAGACTGACATGCGCGAGTTGTCACATTTTCCATTGCTTTCTCCTTCGTCCTTTTACTTTTGGTATAAATGTATTTGTATCTGTAAAAAGCTGATGTATATAATTCCTAACATTGAGTTGTATATAATTGTCTCATGTATTTAAAGTTTATTGTTTCTACTGGCACTAATTTTTATTTAAATAAAGAAACACATTTCCTGGAAAATTTTCCATGTCAGTTCAGCACATCAAATAGATTTCCAGTTCACTACATCAAATAGATTTCCAGTAAGGGGACTGCGCAAAATTTCTACAGGATCCTTTTCTTAGCCTCTTTTTTAAATGATTCCTTGTGTTTGACAGTACTGCAGCGTTGAGGGCTGACCGCAGGGCTGAGCCAGGCGCTCCGGATCTGCCTCGGGTCCGTACTGGCTCTTCGGGGCACCGGGCAACTTCCTCGTGCTCAGCTCCTGCCCATGGGCAGGCAGGGCCGCAGGGATACCCAGAGTTCCTCCTGCAAAGAGCCGGGGGTGCTGGCGAGCCATCGAGGAGGCCGGAAAAACCGACAAGCTGCTATGAAAACATTTTTGTCACTTATTCAGCCTCTTGAAAAGTCTGCATTTTGAGTTTTGGTTTTAAATTTGCATTGTAGCAAATTGGGTGGGCTAGGGTTGAGGTTACGGGCAAGTATCTGACACAGGTCTCTGTTCCCACTGGATTTCCAGTACTTGGCCACGGTACGTAGCCGGCTTTGCCACAAGCTTTGACCCTGGGTCTCGTTGCTGCTCTGCCCCAGCACTGGGGATAGGGGAGGTTTTTGGGATTCTGGCTCCCAGCGCAGGGCAGAAGCGTTTATAGGCAATGTTGCACTTCCATATCTCCTTCAAGCTGTGACACTACGTAGAGGGACACGGGCACCGGCTGAGACCTACTTGCATGGGGTAATTTGAGGTTGTTTCAAGACTCAGGTTGCTATAAAGTTATATCCGCTCACTTTCCCACACAAACCTGTTCCCCTGTGCTCTGCTCTCTTCACTCACTCCCTATTAAATAATTCTGGGGCCTGTTCACAAGCTTCTGTGGACCTAAAGCTACCCATCAGCAAGACTGCGTTTCCCTCCGGCAATGTAATCTCCTGGGACACCCACAGTGTCCTGGAATAGCGGGTCAGTAATGCTGCATCTTCCACATTTACCCATGCTGCTGTCTCAGCGTTTCAGTGTTTCCATTGCCACAACAATGAATCAAGAGACTTCTGACAGCACTGGTGATAAGAAGGCAAAACAGAACAAAATGTAAATTATAGCTCTGCTTTATGGATCAAAAAGCTAGCTTATTCCAGCGGTTTCTTGTGTTAAATGGAGCTGCTATAAAGGGAAACACTGTGTGCTTTGGGGTCTATTTACACTGAAGTGAGCTAGTAAGCACGAAAATGTGGCCACCTTCTTGCAGACTGTGATGGAGCTATGCTTGGCCCGTGGGGTTCGAGAAAGCATGCGTGATAGTTTGGTATGTATTTGTCTTTGTCCAAATTAGTATTTTGATGGCACCAGGGGAAAAAAAAAAAAGAAGCAAAAATATATTTTAGCTAGAAAAGTTAATTGGATGTGCAACTGAACGCAATGATGCCTTGAAGATGGCCCAGTGACCCAAGACTAACAGGTAGCTATTATTCCAAAATAAAAGAAGCGTTGTTAATCTTGAAAAGCTACAGATGGAAGAAAATTGCCCCCATTAAGCTGGTTTTAAAATCCTTTTGACTACTAAGGAGTAAAAGGTGGTAATAATTTTTTTTTTCAAAAAATGACAGGCATTTCCAGTGTGCTTCAGTAACTGAGTTAAATCAGATTCAGAGCTAATAAATCTTGGCTTGAGGGCAATGATAATTGACTGTAATTTGACTGAATGGAGATGATTTTATTTTTACAAATGCATTCTTTCTTAAAAGAACACAGCAATTGGGCTCCCATTTCTCGGCAGTGCTATGCCTCGTACGTTTGCTGGAATAGTTAACGCGTATCACCTTTGACAGAACAGGAGGAGAGGGCCACATGTGGCATGTGCACATGGTCTGGCTCCAGGACCTACTGTAAATATAAGTGCCAGCTCTCAAGATTACCACACCGGCATCTGTGATAGCGGCTGGCTGATTTACAATCCTAAATCCAGCCGGTGGATCGCGTACAGACGCACCTGTGAGGTTACTCAGTCAACAGACTGAACCTGCTGAATAATTGAAGCGGAAATGCAGAACCCTTCTCTTCCCCAGGCACAGGCTCTCCCAGGACTGCCGTGCTCTGGACCGGGGAAAGAGTTAACCAGGGAGGGAAGGTTAACGAATACGAGAGAATCCACTTTCCCAGGGCCGGAGCGCAGGTCACGGATGATGGTAAGTGAGGCCAGGAGCCTCATGTGTTACAACCCATTGCAAAACTTCTCTCCCCAGCTTGGCCCTCTCACAGTGGGTTCCCCTGGATCTGTCCCTTTCTCAGACACGCACCCACACCTACCCAAATAATCAAATCAATTCTCACAGGGTTGGAAAGGAAGGAAACGGATGAACTATAACAGTCATTTCTGTTTCGAAGTCCTCAGTGCATGACGTGGGACAAGGATAGGTGTACTGCTCGAGGACAAGGAGCACACAGGTCCCCAACGCAGACTGCACTTTTATCGCAGCCGTTGCAACCAAGAGAAGATTAAACCACCTGCCTTTAATTTTCATCTCAAAATTTCAAGACCCTGCAAAGGCAGAAGGAGTCCCCGCCACGTGATAGATGAGCGCTCTCCGAGATGCTCAAAGTGGGGTGCTGGGCAGTATGGTTGGTTGCACCAGATGCAATTGTGCCAAAGCTGGACCACGCTCACCTGTGGTTGACTATCTACCACGCTCGCGTTATAATCTTTTTAGACCTTGTTGTTCTAGCGGGAAGATTATTTCTCCCTGAGTTCACAGTTGCATTTTAGATTTAAAATACAAGGTTTGCATCTAAGAGGCATAAAAATTAATGAAATTGTTTAGGCTATTGGTTTTTAAGCACTGATCATATTTGCCTCTGTGTATTTGGTTGATTTGCTTTCGTATTCTTTCCATTTTCACACGCCTCTGCAGTTCCTACTGCATACAGCCAAAAATAGCTGCCAGATGAGCTGCCGCCTTAGTGTATTGACACTTCTGTATCCACCTCTTATGGAAGAAAATGGAAAATAATACAAAATCAATGAGCACCAGAGTTTTTCAAAGCTTAATTTTGTTTTAGTTTGGGTTTGGGTAGGGTTCCAGTTTATGTTAGACGGGGTTAGACTGAGACTTTTGCCATCCAAAGAAGTGACTAGAAGAAGGATAATAAAGGCTATTGAATGGTGCATTACAGGCTATGTTCCCATCTCTCTCCCTGGGTAACCTGTTTAATTGTTCTGTGCTTCACTTGATTATCAGATGATACTACTTATATTCCTGTCTGTGAGAATACGATGTGTTCTTGATAGACGTGAAATGCTTGTGATTCTCCGATGAAG